AATAAAATTTTATTAAAATAATATCATTTTTTAAAAAAATTTTCTTAATTTTTTTTTTAAATTTCACTAATAAACACTTTTTTAAAAATTTATATAAATGTATAACTCTTTTTTAAGAATAATTATCAAACGTTACTAATTTACCACTTAACTTAAAATTATATTGTTTTAATAAAATATCATAAGAAAATATTAAAATAATATCATTTTTTTAAAAAAAAATTTCTTAATTTTTTTTTTTAAATTTCACTAATAAACACTTTTTTAAAAATTTATATAAATGTATACCTCTTTTTTAAAAATAATTATCAAACGTTACTAATTTACCACTAACATAGGTTTTATGATATCAATAGAAAACACAGATATATTAACAGCATTCCCACGACTTGGCTGGAATACAAGGACCCTGACCCCGTTCCTTTACAACTTCACTTGCTGTTACATTATAACAGCAAGGAATGAAATCGTGATAATCATACCAACATTTTTCTGCTATAACAAACATTGCCATCACAAAAGAGTATAATAACATGATCTACAATGGTGGTGGTGCTGCTGCTGTCACCTAATTAAAGCATTGCCAAGGAAGCCCAACCAAGCTTGCCAGGCAGTCAGGCTTCTGGCATTCACATTCAGCCTGTTTTTACCACGATCCCAATCACCAGCTTTCAAACCAATCTCCTAGGATGTTTGGTGGATGGTGATCATTTCTAATTTCTGAATTTTTCCTATTTCAATGAACATAAAATCTAATTCAATACATTTTCTACCTTTAAAAAGATTAGATTGATGACTATTAGTTAATGCATAACTTATTATATAGTATATACTATATGACACTAATACATCTTTCACAAATTTTCTTTAGCAAATTCATGTGCTAAACTTAGTATTTTGTTGATATTTCTGTCGTTAATATTTATAGCATACTTTGGATATATTGTGAATATGAATTTTTGATAGCCAAGGTTACCTTATATTATTCCTAGGATAACATTTTTTCTATCGTTAATTCTATTATCTATTAAAGCTAGCTTTATTGAGTTGTCTATACCTTCTCTAAAAAAAGTTTTAATAAGAAATTGAATTTCTCCTATATGAAAAAAATCCTATTCTTGATCTATTAGGTTATTTAATTTTTGACAATTTGTTTTCTATTTCTACCTTAACAAAGTAGAGGTATATTTATTACTTTTATTGTATTCTTGATAGGAATACTATATTGTTTAGTGGGCATTTCATAATAGACTATATCTTTCCTCTTAAAAGAATTACTTAGAGAAATTTGACTTAAATCCTTTTTCTAATGTAAGATCTATTTCCTTTCACTTAATTCCTTTATACTTACTTTTATCAAATACAGTTAATTGGCTGTATTCTCCATACCCTTCATATTCTTCAAAATAAGCTTTCCCTCCCTCAATATTCAGATTCATTGCTAGTGAAAGTATCTAAACTTTCCACTTCATATATACTTTCATCGCTATTTATAGAGTTAGTCTCTATTTCGCTTAACTTGTCTTAAATTTTTAAATTTTTAGTACTTTCTCTTTTGCATCTTTTAGGACATTCATTGCATGGTGTCCTTCTTTGCATCCAACATGTGCATTTCTTAGGATTCTTTTTACATTTTCTTGGTGTTTTTGTTTTCTTTTATTCTTATTAAACCTTTGTTTATTACTTCTTTTAATTCTAAATCTTTTGTTTCTCTATTTGTAATTTGAATAACTATATCTTAACTTAATTGGATCACTATTTTTAGGACAACATAACTCCTTTTTTATACTCCTTTTTAATTTATTATAGCTATAGATTTCTATACACCACTCATTTATTTTGGTTTTAGTGAACCAAATTCTTAGTCCTGATGTATTGGTTTTATTTTCTACAAAGGTTCTACAAACTTCTACTAGCTTTATTCCCCAAGGATTAGGGATTTTTCCAAAAAATTATTCTCTTAAACCTTTTGCCATTCCATGATTTGAGGTTCATAATAATATTTCTGGAATAAATAGATATATTGGTCTAGTTCACAAAGATTATATAATTCTAAATTCTACATATTCCATACTTCTATTCTTCCAATTCTGGCTTCTTCCTTTTCTTGATTTTCTTCCCAATTTTCTCTTAAAAATTCTTTTTTTATAGCTGATTCGAACCTAATTATTATGTAGCAATTCAACCCTTTGTCCGTTGCCAGGAGCTAGTGTAATGAAATATGTAGATGTGTAGCCCTTTGTACATTGTTGGAGGCTAAATGAGGTAGTAAATTTGGCCCTTTGTCCATCACTGAGAGTTATGTAAATATAGCCCATTGTCCATTGATGGAAGCCAAAAGATGTAGTAGTGAATATCCTTGCGGAGAACATGACCATAAAAAATGCCCAATCATGTTGTAGAGATAGATATAGCCATGTTTGACCATGTATATAGAAATAGATGCTGGAACGAGTTACACCTGCACTATTTCCAATGAAGTTGATGAACGTCGCTCTTGGTGATGTTAACTCCGTTGCACTAATTAGTAAAAAATAGAAATTGCATATCTGATGTGGAAAATAAATCATGTGGGTCCTTGCTGATGTAGAGCCACACAAGTCATTAATTTCAAAGCCATACAAATTCATCCCTTAAGAAAAATTTAAAAATCCAATCAATTTTTTAAATCTAAATATTAATATTTAATAAAATAAATTTTTAAAATTTACACTAAATTTTAATTAAATAAAACAAACGTAATTTAGGATTAAGATTGGAGACTAACATACATTTTTCCATATATATATAATGAATAGAACTTGAACGAATTTTGCTCAAATAAAAATAAGACCAAAAATTTAGAGGTTGAAAAAAAAGAAACCTGAAATTGAATTTAGCCTTTTTCTCCATGTCAACTTATATGTGCACACGGAATGGTGCCACGTCAGTATATGTATCAATGTGAATTAATGAAAACCCAAAAAAGAAACAAAGTTAGTCCACCATAAGATAGATTGTTTGGCCCGTTTATGAAAAGGGTTTATTTGTGTAGTTACTAGAGTTGAAGGGTTTATCTGTTTTATTTTTAGTTTAAAGGCTTAAATGTTATTTTAGAGTAAATTTAAGGACTTAAGAAGGGTTTTTTCCTCTCTACCCTTTTAATTTAAACATGAAACGACAATCTTACCAAATCATAAAATTACCCCCGTTTTTGGGTAAATAAATCATAATTTGACTTAGGAGTTGGTATAATACCATAGATGATTCTGGATAGACAAGTGACATACTTTGTGGCATTAAAACCCCTGCCCCCAACACATAAAGACACAAAATTCTCAACTTAATCTGTTTCTAGTTTTCTTCTAGTTTAGATAATTATTCTCTGCAAGACAGAATATATGGTGCTGCAATGTTGTAGCAACAGATCCATGGTGTTTAGCTTTTATTCACTTCAAAAAAATCTACACCATACGTTGCATGCAATTTTATTTTACATTCTTTCCCTGGTCCATCTAATAATTAATTATGCTGGTAAGCCTAGATATTTTCCTTCTTAAGCAGAAGTGTATTAATGGGCTCTCTGCACTAGAGATAAACATTGAAAAGGCTCTTTTGTAACATAGACCGTGTTTGAAAAAGACAATGCCCTTTCTTTATTGCTTGTCTAACATCTTCCATGCTATCAAGGTTGATTGAAGCAATTGGGGACAATAGTTTCCATGGTACAGCATGATGCACTCTGGATTCTTTAAAAAAAAAATACAGCCAATATTTCTTCTGCTGAGTGCCAAACTTTGTGTCGGTGCATTCATGTGTTTCAGTACAAAAAATTTGTAGTCCTGGTTGAGAAATATATACAAAACAAGGTGGTATTCAATTTCAACATATTAATACAGAAAA